TATGTCCTCGTCAATTGCTTGGTTTCGCCTGGTTTGGGCGCGGCTTCACCCGACACGTCCTCGCAATCTGCTTGCTTTTGCCTTGGTTGTGCCATCGTTTCGCTTGGTTTCGGCCCTGTTGCGCTTGAGACGTTCTCACTGGTTTCGGCCCTGTTTCGCTGGTTCTCGGCGCGGTTTCGGTTGAGACGTCCTCCCAATGTGCTTGGTTTGCCCTGGTTTGGGCGCGGTTTCGTTTGAAACGTCCTCGCAATTTGTGGGCATCTGAAGCGCAGTGTGTTCGGCCACTTTATCGCATGGTGCAGCCCTCGCTCGCACACACAATTTCTGTCACTACGCGGCATTTGGCAATGCGGCGGCGTCCGGAGAACACTTTTCCCAGCCTGACCATGCTCGGAAACATGTCTCCTGACGCCACACCACGGCCCCAACAACGACACCACCACCACCACCAACAACAGACACAACGACAAGAGCAACAACAACCGAATGACAAATTAACGTTTTGCGCCCAACCTCGCCCGCCTCATCGGAAATGTGGTCCAAACGCCCCCATACAATGTTAAACGGGTTTGCACCTGGGGGGCCCTGAGATCGTGCACCCCTTCAATTGAAAACTCATTTCGGAGAGTGGATGAATCCTGGTTTCAGCGATTCTGCCCAGGACGCCCTCACAAGTCTAGACGCTTCACGTATCCCCACCAGCCCATCCAGAAACGATGTCCAGGCGAGTTGATGTGATCAGGGAAGTGCGGCAGCAAAGAGGAGGACGGCCGAACCGTGCAAAGGAGTGAGGAGGAGAAGGAGGAGGTGGATGGATTGATGGATGGATGAGGGAGTGGGAAGAATGAGGATGAATAGGATGAGGAGGAGGCGGAGGAGGAGGAGGAGGAAGAGGAGGAGGAGGAGCAGGAAGGAGGAACAAGAGAATGAGGAGGGCAAGCACAAGGGCCAGAGGTCTCTTGGATGCCCTTCGGAGCCTCTTGGGGTATCTCTTGGGCGATTCTTGGTGGCCTCTTGGGACGTCTTGGGGGTCTCTTGGCGATCCTGGGGGGCTCTTCGGTGTCTTGGGTGCCTCGGGGGGGGCTCTTGGGGCCGCCCGCTTGGGGTCTTCTTGGGGGCCTCCTGGGGGCCTCTTGGGTGCCTCTTGGGGCCATCTTGGGGCCATCTTGGCGCCTCTTGGGGCCTCCTGGGCGCCTCTTGGGGCCATCTTGGAGGCGATCGGTCAAATAAGGGTGGGTCCCTAGTTAGCACCGCCCCTCGGGAGCCCCCAACATAGCCTCCTGGACCCCTCTTGGGGCGCTCTTGGAGCGCTCTTGGGCGCCCTTGGTGCCGTCTTGGGACCCTCTTGGGCCCCTCTTGGGGCTATCTTGGGCTTTCTTGGAGCCATCTTGGGCCTCGGAAGGCCATCGGAAGCGAAAAGGCGAGAAGGCAAACATCATTGGTTGTTTCTAGGTGTTTGAATGATTTTAGCCTCTTGGGGGACTCCTTGCGGAGCTATTTAGCCTCTTGGAGCCGTCTTGGGGCGGTCTCGGGGCCTCTTGGAACATCTTCAGAGCCATCTTGATGCAGCTTGGCCCATCTTGAGCCATCTGGGAGGTCATCTTGGGCTTTCCGAGGCGCTCTTGGAACCGTTTTGGGCCATCTTGGGCGCTCCAACGCGTTGCCGCGCCCCCCGTCCAGGTCCAGGGGAAGGGGTAGGGGGAGGAGTCAAGACCCCCTCCCCGCCCGCAAGCCGTCTCGCTCACGCCCACCCGCCCTCCCAACACATACGTAGCACCCGAGTCTGGCCCGAGCCTCAGCATATTCAGCAGTCGTCTTTGGATGGGCAGCTACATGGGGGCCAATCCGCCGCCGCCGCCGCCGCCGCCGCCTCCGCCGCCGCCGCCGCCGCCGCCGCCGCCGCCCCCCGCTGCCAAACCGCCGCCGCCGCCGCAGCCGCTGCCGCCACCGCCACCGCCGCCGCCGCCGCCGCCGCCGCCGCCCGCCGCCGCCGCCGCCGTCGCCGCCGCCGCAGCCGCCGCCACCGCCGCCGCAGCCGCTGCAGCCGCCGCCGCCGCCAAGTGTATTCTGTATTGTTTTTTGACAGGGATGGTGGGGGGGGGGCGGGGCGCATCGGGTTGGCTGCGCATGTTCCGAATCTGGAGGCAGAGTGTGTTTTGTATTGTTTTTGACATGGGATGGTGTGGGGGGGGTGTCGTCATGGTCCCTGGTTGGCCTCCAGTCGCCTGGGGGAGGGGGTGTTTATTAATAGGGGACAGCGATAAACCCCTCCCCGAAGGGGAAGAAGGAGGGGTGGAAGAGGAAACTCCCTAAACCACCTACGCCCCAGAGGGCTGGTGGGATTTGCCTGGTTTCGCCACTGGTTTCGCCTGCTTTCGCTTGGTTTGGCTCGGCTGGGCGGCGCTAGCCGTTTGAGACATCCTTGCAAGTTTCATGGTTCCGCCCCTGGTTTCGCTTGATATCGGCCCAGGTTCGTTTGAGACGTCCTCGTAAGTTGCTTGGTTTATTCTGGTTTGAACGCGGTTTCGGCTGAGACGTCCTCGCGCTGTGCATGGTTTTGTTTACGTTTCGCCTGGTGTTGGCTCGGTTTCGCTTGAGACGTCCTCAGCATATGTTTGGTTTCGCTTGATGTTTCGGTTGAGACGCCCCCCCCTGCTTGGCTTGCCTTGTTTTGGGCGCGGTTTTGCTTGAGACGACTTCGCAATGTGTGGACATCCGAAGTGCAGCGCGGCCGGCTTTTGTATCACATGGTGCCAACACCGCTCACTTTTTGTATTATGCGGCGTTGGACAATGCGGCGGCGTTCGGAGAACACTTTTCCCAGCCTGACCATGATAGGAAACATTTTCCGAACGCCAGACAAAGGCCCCTACAGCAACCGAATGACAAATGAAACGTTCCGCGCCCAACCCCGTCCGCCTCAGCGGACACGTGGGGGGGGCCTCAGGGTCATCCACTCCTTCAGTTCGAACTTTATTCCCGACCCTTCGTTGTTGGGTTCTCGTTTTCAATTGAGCGCTGTGGTCGCGTCTCCTCCTTTCCGCCTCCCTTCTTCTCTCTCTATTGCTCTTTCGATTTCTCGTTATTTCTCGCTCTGTCCCCTTTTGTCTCGACCCCGTTTCGCACCTGCCTCTGACCTCGCTACTCCTGGGGGGGCTGCGATCTGCGAAGCTGTCGCCACTTTCGACGGATGCTAGGGGGGGAGCAGCATAGTGTGTATTCGCCGCAGGTCCATATTCAACCTCGCCATCCTTGGGGGGGGGGGGGGCGATCTGCGAAACCATCGCCACTTTCGAGGGCTGCGTGGGAGGGGGGGGGGCAGAATACTGAGGACTCACCACAGATTCAGATTTGACCTCGCTGTTCCTGGGGCTTTCGAGGGTTGCTCGCGCCTTCTGCTGCCCCGCTGGCTTTTCGGCTCTCCATCTGCCGTCTCCCCCAAGTTGCCGCCCTTTTCCCCGTCGAGCGTGGGGCCTACCTTCATCAAGCCCTTGTCAATCGATCTGTGTCCTGCGAGCCGCGCAGCTCGCGAACCTCCCAAGTATCGCTCGCAGAACAACAACTTCTTTGTCATGGTATCACCCCTTGTAAACTCTGCCCAGCTATTCTGTCCACGCGTCGCGCAAGGGTTGGATACATCGTCAGGATAATTCTTTCGTTCTAGCAGCGGAAAGGTGTGTGGGCGATGTATGCCCTTGAGTTAGGTGAGAGGAGGGGGAGGCCCCCCAGAAGATTGCAGAAGCCCTACCAGACAGTTCTTTGTATTCTATCACGTCCTAACGTGCTAGGGGGTACGATGGTGGATCCTTCCCCGCGAGGAAGGATGACGATAAGGAAGACGAGGGAGGAGGGATGAGGGACATGAGAGTGGAGGATGATTGAGGAGGGAGGAAGATGGAGTCCCGTTGGGCAAGTCTGGTCGTGAAGGAGAGGCATCCTGGGCCGTCTTGAAGCCGTCAGGAAGGCATCTAGGGTCAGTTTCGGAATCTTTTGGTGGAGGGGCTATCTTAGACGCCCGCGAAGCCGTCTTGAGCCCATAGAGTCCCGACAAACATGGAAAATGCGAAGAGCTATCTGGAACCCTGGGGAACAACATGATGATTTGGCTTCTCGGGCCCTCCTGGAGGTCCTTTCAGAGCCAGCTTGGGCCGTCTTTCGAGTCGTTGAGGCAGTCTTGAGGCCCTCTTGGGCCGTCCTGGAGTCCAGTGCGAGCCATCATGGGGGTATCTTGGATCCTCTTGGCGGTCTGTGTACGTTGCTTGCTCAGACTGGGGCACGTCGAACGGCTTGGAGAGAGCGCAGGGAGCCGTTTGTCGCAGCCCAGGACGTCCTCGGGGGGGGGGGGGGGCATGGAGGCATCGTGGGGTCCTCTTTAGTCGTCCAATGGATACACATTTTTCGTTTTTAATTCCTCGAGAGTTCTTTGTTTTTTTGGGGGGGGGCCAGGATCCCCTCATTTCTGACTGTCTACCCTGGTCCTCTTCCTGGCCACTGGGGGGCCAGGAACGATTAGAAACGAGCACAATTAGAAATGAGCACGGTTAGACATGAACAACGTGTAATGAGCACGGAAGCCCGAAGAGGTGAGAGTGCGGAAATCCTTGAACAACACTCGGGTGATACATTGAGTTTGGCTTCTTCGGACCTTGTTGGGGGAGCTCTTGTGGTCATATTTGGCTCTCTTGGAGGCATCTTGGGCCGCCTTGGCCATCTCGGGCCGGCCCCAGTTTGCTTCTACAGGGGTGGTGGTGGTGGTGGTTACCTATGTTATGTTGCCTGCATGGGCCTTCTTGGAAGCTCTGGACGCGGATACGTCGTTGTTGACGACGGATCGTGGCGTGCGTGCGGATATGCGTGTGTGTGTATCTCTCTCTATCTATCTATGTATATATATATATATATATATATATATATATATGTGTGTGCCCGTCTACATCTTGTATTCACGCATATGCATATGTGTGTATATATACACACTACATATGTGTTGTTTTGTTACG